AAAAAAAAAAAAAAAAAAAAAAAAAAAAAAAAAGAAAAAGGGGGGGGGAGTAGTTAGTGTTACATTCCAGGAACAGAGGACCCTAGGGCCATCAAGAGAGAAGAACATGAGTGGAACATGGGAGCCTAACCAGAGAAGCAGTAACACCAGAGATGGAGACAGAGGTGATGGTATGGATAGATAAGATTAGTTGAAGACTCTAGACTAAGAGGCTGTGTGCTGGTGGAGTCAGAGGCTGGCTTGCAAAATGTGCCCTTTGGTTTCTTTAAACAACTACACATTCCTGCGTGTTTTTGTGTACATCAAAAAAAAAGAGAGAGAGAGAATAGAAGCAAATACTGTTAACCAATGATGCATGGAGGGAATTGTAATCATTGAAATGAAACAAAATACTACTGGTCAAGTAAAAAAAAAACCTATGTTCTCCCATGTAAACTATCACTCAAGTCACAATAAAACTTTGTTTAAAAAAAGAAAACAAATGGTCAATGTTCAACCAATTCAACAGATAGCATATGATTAAGAGCCAATGGTACTGAAGGAAGAAGTCCAAGATTCACTGAAGGTGTTGGCAAAGAACAAGGCTCTGGGCATTGATGGAATACAAACTGAAATCTTTTAACAAACTGAGGCAGCATTGCAGGCACTCACTCATCTCTGCCAAGAAATTTGGAAGACAGCTACCTGACCACCTGATTGGAAGAGATCCATACTGTGCCCATTCCAAAAAGAGGTGACCCAACAGACAATCATTAATATCATAAGTAAGTAAAATTTTGCTAAAGATAATTCAAAAGCAGCTACAACAGTACATTGACAAGGAGCTTCCAGAGGTTCTAGCCAGATTCATACAAGAATGGATATTGGCTGAAAGCAGAGAATACCAGGAAGACGTTTACCTGCGCTTTACTGACTATGCAAAGGCTTTTACCTATGTTGATCATGACAAACTATGGATAACCTTGCGAGGAATAGGTATTCCTAAACACTTAATTGTGCTTATGAGGAACCTATATGGAGACCAAGAAGCAGTTGTTCGAACAGAACAAGGGGATACTGAATGTTTAAGATCAGGAAAAGTGTTTGCCAGGGTTCTATTCTTTCACACTTAATCAATATATATGTTGAGCAAATAACCTGACAAACTGGATTATATAAAGAAGAATGTGGCTTCAGAATTGGAAGAAGACTCATTAACAACCAGCGACATGCAGATGATACAACTTTGTTTGCTGAAAGTGATGAGGACTTAAAATACTTACTGATGAAGATCAGAGACCAGAGCCTTCATTATAGCTTGCACCTCAATGTAAAGAAAACAAAACCCTCATTGGACCAATAAATAACATCATGATAAATGGAAAAAAGATTTCATCTAGCTTGGATCCACTGTCAACACAAATGGAAAGAGCAGTGATGAAATCAAAAGACGTACTGCATTACGCAAATCTGCTGCACAAGACCTCTTTAAAATCTTCAAGAGCAAAGATGTCAGTTTGAGAACTAAGGTGCGCCTGACCCAAGCCATGGTATTTTCAATCGCCTCATATGCACGTGAAAGTTGGACAAAGAAAAAAGAAGACCATGGGAGACTAGCTGCATTAAAGTTATGATGCTGGAGAAAAATATTAAAAGTACCATGGACTGCCAGAAGAACAAACAAACCTGTGTTGGAAGAAGTACAGTCAGAATGCTCCTTAGAAGCCATGATAAGGAGATTGTGTCTCTCATACTTTAGACATATTATCAGGAGGAACAGTCCCTGAAGAAGGACATGGTTATTGGTAACGCGGAGGGTCAGCGCAAAAGAGGTAGACCCCCAATGAGATGGACTGGCACAGTGGCAGCAGCCAATGGCACAAACGTTAATAATTGTGAGAATGGTGCAAGACTGGGCAGAGTTTTGTTCTATTTTGCACAGGGTTGCTAAGGGTCATAACTGACTCGATGGCACCTAACATCAACAACAACAAATGAGTAGACTTGTAGATACCATCTTAATCAAGTGATAGTTACTATCACCTTCACATGTGATATCTACATCATGTGCCTCCTGTACCACAAAAACAGTAACACCACTTCTTTAGTTGTTGTTAAGTGCCGTCGAGTCAATTCTGACCCATAGTGATCCTGTATGGGGTTTCCAAGGAGCAGCTGGTAAACTTGAACCACCAACCTTGCAGTGCAAACGGCTTTGCAGTCTGGCGCATTAGCCCACAGTGCCACCCCACGACTCCTCCTTTAGTACTCCTGTCTAAAATGTTTCAGTCACGAGAAACCATCAGAGTAAATTTCCTGTATACTTTAAAATTTTCAAGATCACGAAAGATATGGAAAGATTGAGGAACTGTTCCAGACTGGAGGTACTAGCTAACAAAACATAATCCTAATCTGAAACCTGAATCTAAACCAGGAACAACTGGCAAAATCTGAAGAGTGGTATGGGTTACATGGTGATACTGGATCATGGTTAATATCTTGATTTTGATAGCTCAATGTAGTTATACAGGACAATGTCTTGGTTGTTGTTGTTAAGTACCGTGTAGTCGATTCCGACTCATAGTGACCCTGTACAGGATTTCCTCGAGGCTGTAAATCTTTAAGGGAGCAGAAAGCCTCATCTTTCTCCCACAGAACAGCTGGTAGTTTTGAACTG